TTTTACAGTTGTTGGGGTTCAGAATACCTTCTCCTCCTCCTCCTTCCTCATCTGCCCCAACAAGATACAGGTCTGCAGGTCAGTGCCAGCCCATTGGCACTCGCTCCTAAAGGCGGGGGTGGAAATGGCTGGAAGGCAGCTACGTAGACAGAACCTGCCAGCACCCACAGCCATGGTGTTCCACCCCTAGATCCCCTTTCATCACCTTTGGTCTCCAGAGCCTCCCAGAACACAGTACTCATTGAACACTCAAATCGGAGAACAATAATCGCCTATAGCAGAGCTTAGCTTTCTTACAAGCTTTAAAATATGATATTGGAGGGGCGCCGGGTGGCTCAGTCAGTTAAGCGTCTGACTTTGGCTCAGGTCATGATCTCAAGGTCCGTGGGTTCAAGCCCCGCCTTGGGTTCTGTGCTGACAGCTCAGAGCCCGGAGCCTGCTTCGGTTTCTGTGTCTCCCTCTCTCCCCCTCCCCTGCTTGTACTCTCTCTGTCTGTCTCAAAAATGAATAAATAAACATTTAAAAAACACGATACTGGAAAACAAGTCCACACTACCAAATCAAGACATAAATGTCTTGATTCTCAATGTTATGCCAGGACAGAAAGACACTATTGTATAAACTATTGCTATTGTATAACTAAAATCTTAAATGACATTTAGCATACAGAATGTACCAACACGGAATCCTTATCCATAATCAAGGACCGAACCAAGGGCTGTTAGGCTGGTACCTATCCATTCATCTGCCAATCCATCCTATCTATCCACCTACCTATGCATTTATCTACCCACCACCCACCCATGTCTCCACTCGTCCACCTGACAACTGGTCCAGCCATCTGTCAGTCACTGTGCTCCACAGGTCCCCTCCCCAAGCTGAGCATGAACACCCAGCTGCCATTTGCTAAGCAGATGTCCTGAGGCAGGCTTGTGGTATTCCAGGAACAGTCTCATAGTAAGCATCAAGGCCCTGCGGGAGAAACGAGCTTGGCTTGTTCAAGGGATAGGAAGGTGGCAATGAGTCCTGAGCCTGGATGGGAGAGGAGTGACGAAGGGTGCCCCCCCACAGAAGGACGGGCATACAGGGCCTTCCAGGTCACAGTCAGGAGTCTGCATTTTATTCCAAGTGCAACTAGAAGCCATTGAATGGTTTGGGCCTTGGGACAGTTGTAATCTATCTTCCAAAACCAGTGAGGAGGTAGCTGCTGTGGTCCAGGCTGGAGATGACAAAAGCTTGCACGAAGACGGGAACGTGATCCCAGAGAGCACTGTGTTGCCTGAGGAAGGTGGGCCTTGGCTTGGGCAGCAAGGTGACCAGGGGAGCTGTGGCTCAGATCCGAGCCCCGGCAAGGAGGGTACCGAGGGGCAAAAACAGGATTTTGACCTCCACCCCGTTCAAAGGCACTACCGGCCATCCAGGCAAGGAGACCAGCAGGCAGCAAGGGGGTGACTCCATGAGAACTGGGAAAGGTGGGGTGCAAACACACCCACCAAGTGAGCATCAGTCAGCACCTCAGCGGGGAATGCCTCTGTGCTGCCGTTCACTTGGAAGGGCGACTCTTCAAAGTGGGATCAGTGAACCAGAAGGTGCCTGCAGTGGTTACGGGCCACCAAAAAGCCCTCCAGAGAGGTTCTGCCAAATTCCCCTCTCTTCACCAGCCACACTCAAGGATGGCAGCCTCCCTCTTCCTTTTATTTTAAATGCTCCCGTAACGGGGCGCCCGAGTGGCTCAGTCCGTCGAACGCCGGACTTTTGATTTCAGCCCTGGTCATGATCTCATGGATCGTGAGTTTGAGCTCCACATCAGGCTCAGCACTGATGGCTCAGAGCCTGCTTGGGATTCTCTCTCTCTTTTTCTGTCTCTGCCCCTCCCCTGGTCTTGCTCTCCCCCACTTCAAAATAAAGAAAGAAAGAAAGAAAGAAGCAAGTAAATAAATAAAAATTTAAAAAATTTTAAATGCTCCCCTATCAGGTGTGGCCTCAGCCGCTCAATGATGGGGTGACACTTCCTGAGAGGGCCGATGCAGCACACAGCACTGGTTTAAGGTATAAGGCAGAAACGACATTCCTCCCACTGTTACGGACTCACCGTATCCCCCTAAAATTTATATGCTTGCGTCCTCACCCCCAGGACCTCAGAATGTGACTATTTGGATGGAGGGTTATTGAAGAGGTAAGTAAGGTAAAATGAAGTCATCAGAGGGGACCCTGATCCAGCCTGGTGCCTTACAAGAGATCACGACACAGACACGCGGAGGGAAGACCACGTGAGGACACGGGGAGGAGGTGCCTGTCTGCAAGTCATGAAAAAAGCCTTGGGGGAAATGAGGCTGACATCTCGAACTTGGACCTCTGGCCTCCAGAAGAGTGAGAAGACAAATTTTTTTTTTTTTTTTTTTTTTTTTTTTTGTGGATGCTACCCAGTCTCTGGTATTTTGTTACGATAGCCGGAATAAGCTACTGCATCCGACTTACGAGGGACCCCAAGTCAGCGGGGGAGCAGCTTTGCAGGAAGCAGACTTGTGCTGGCCAGAATGACGGGGCTTGGAGAGCTGGTACAAAGCCTCAGAGAACAGAAGCCAGGAGACTGAGGGTCGGGTGTGGGCAGGGGACGCTGCCCACCACAGGGAAAGCTGGTACTAAGTGCACGCGATTCGATTTGCTCTCATGGGAGTGGGCTGATTTCAGATCAACCCCCCCCCCCCCGTCTTCCCCAGGACTCATGAGAAGTCACCCCATCCTCTTTCCTCCAAGATTCGGAAGCACTACGTAACTTTTCACCAAAATTATACTTTATGTGTCACCTCTTCAGTGGTTAAGTATGGGTGTCTGTCCTTCCCTCCTACACTGTGAGGTCCTTCGGGAGCAGAACCTTTGTCCTATTTATCTTTATATAGAACAGAACCTTGACCCTCACAAAAATGTTCTCTGTGTGGTTTGCGTAAACAAGTAACTCTTATCTTGATGCCCTACTCTTGTCTCAACAGAATACAATGAAAACCATTCATTATCCTGCCCCATTATCAGATCAGTAATTTTTTTTTAAGATTTTATTTCTAAGCAATCTCTACGCCCAGTGTGGGGCTCAAACTCACAACCCCGAGATCAAAAGTACCATGCTGTACTGACTGAGCCAGCCAGGCACCCCAGTAATTCATATTTTTTATAGACACACTTATAGTGTTTTAAATTCATGCAGGGCACCTGGTGGCTCAGTTGGTTGAGTGTCTGACTTCGGTTCAGGTCATGATGTCACAGTTTGTGAACCCGAGCCCCACGTTGGGCTCTGTGCTGACAGCTCAGAGCCCGGACCCTGCTTCGGATTCTGTGTCTCCCTCTCTCCCTCTGCCCTTTCCCCACTCGTGCTGTTTCTCTGTCTCTCAAAAATAAATAAAACATTTAAAAAATTTATGCAAAACATTAGGTATCTTAAAATCTTTGTATTATAGGATTTTATTTTTGGTGAGCAAAAGACAGTCCTTAACCTGAGTTTTCATTTCTTTTATTCCCAGATTTAATGTTTTAAGTACATTATTTCTTACTGATACTTCGAAAAACAAACATTCTCTGAAAAAAACTGGGAATGGCTTTTCAATGCTCCTATTCTAGAATTTCATTGAGTCCTGCCACTCTTTGAAAGTGCACACAATTCTGAAAATTGCTGGGTCTGTAGCTCAAAAGCAGAAAGCTTCTGGAACTAATTTCTTCAGGGTGGTTACACAGTCCGCTAGAAGACACAGCCATGATAAATGAAGCATATGGTCCCTCCCCCTGTTCCTCTTGACCCTTTCACTATTGATAGTGCCATTTACCACACACACACACACACACACACACACACACACACACACACACACACACACACACACACTGTACATTAGAGCTATTCATTAGGACTCTGTTCACCGCAGGGGAGCTAACTCTAACCACCACACAGACCCTCTGCAGGATCAGTGAAATACATACATGGCAGGAGCACAAGGGTGAAACCAGAGCTCGCACATGCAGGGTGCACCGAGCGCTCTCACAACTGCAACACAGCCTAGAAGTGGGCTTGGAAGAAAGAGTACAGCTGGTGCTGGGCACGTGACTTACCCAGAATGTACAGTAATAAAGCTGTGATTGTGTTTCTCAAAAACTGCTCGATTCCGTAGGTGTATTATTCAGCGGCCATTCCTTCTTACCCAGGGATTCTTGGTTTTAGCCATGCAGATAATTACACAGACTTCCTACACAAAATACCACTCGTGTCCCCTCAGAGCCACGTAAAGATTGGATACTCTCCTGTGAGGCTAACAGCACTCGAGTTTAAAGCCAAATGAAATAAAACCCCAGTATAGAAGGCTCTCAAAAGCAAACATTTAAATTGGTTATTTCTGCAACAGAACCCTGAATTTTGAGGTTAAGTGTTTAAATTTGAATATCACACCAATCACCAGATATTCTCAAAGCAGTAGAAAGATCTGTATTCAGTGACCCAATTGTGTAGTTTTATTTCCACTGTTCTATCAACCCTCTTTTTTTTTTAAATGTTTTATTTTTGAGAGAGTGTGCATGGGGGAGGGGCAGAGAGAGAGGGGCAGAGGATCTGAAGCGAGCTCTGAGCTGACAGCAGCAAGCCTGATGTGGGGGTTGAACTCACGAACCGTGAGATCCTGACCTGAGCTAAAGGTGGACGCTCAACCGACTGAGCCACACAGGCGCCCCTATCAGCCCTCTTAAATTAAGCTGATACCACAGGTCCTACGGTATTCTACGCTTCCATCTCCCTCCTTCCTCGTGCATATCAAGGGCGAGATGACACTATTGATTCATTTACTTAATCAGTCTAAATTCTATCCTCACTACAGGTAAACAGCTACACTGGCCACATTTGAGAACTATGGCACACAACGTGCTAATAACACTGCTACCATCCACCAGTCTTTCAGATCCTCTTGAGGAGCCGACGGACTTGATTTCTATTTTTGAGCTCGAAACAAGCCCAATTTAGAAAGGCTGGCTCCATTCCTTTCTGACAATCTTCCCAGGCAACTCCAATTTGGAGACCACGCCCCGGCAGCCCAGCTGTGTACTAGATCATTAAAGCATCCTTTCAACGAGCATTCTGGATAAAGCATTTCATTCAAGCACGTTACACTGGATTTCTCATTCTGTGAACATAAAGAACCGTACTGTACAGCAAACACAGCAGCCATTTTAAGAACCCAAAAAAAAAAAGCCACGATGGCATCAGAAGGCATCTTCGCCCTTGAGACGCTTCTGCTGGAGGCGGCGCAGGGCTACAGGCTCTGCTCAAACGGCACCACGTCTGCAGCGGGGACGCTGAGGTGCTGGAAACTGCATCCAGTTAGCAGCCATGCTGGCTTTGGCAAAAAAACCACCAGAGGCCCAATCACGTGAACCAAGCATTCACCCACCGTCGAGAAGGCCACCTCCAAGATGTCTTCTTAGCAACCCCAAACCCAGAATTCACCCACCTCGGATTAGGGCGTCCCTCCTCGGCGCGGACGGTGGCAGAAAGTTGCCTGTGCTCACCAGCGTCCCCCACTTGCTGTTGTGGTTCGATGGCAGCTTCCTGCCAAGAGCAGCACAGTGAAACTCCGAATCATCAAGCTGCCTTCCTCAAGACATCTATTATTACGAACCCCCTCATTGTGGGTTTGCCCCGCAAGCCTGTGCCGCGGAGGCGAGGACGCAGCCTGCCGCCTTGTAAGGACACTCAGCCACAGGGCTCACACGCTCTGCTCTCCAAACTGTTGTTTTCTAGTGTTTATTTATTTTTGAGAGAGAGAGAGAGAGAGAGAGAGAGCGAGCTGGGGAGGGGCTGAGAGAGAGGGAGACAGGATCCGAAGCAGGCTCTGCACGGACAGCACACAGCCTGACACAGGGCTTGAACCCATGGACCGTGAGATGGTGACCTGAGCCGAAATCAAGAGACAGACGCTTGGGGCACCTGGGTGGCTCAGTCGGTTAAGCGTCTGACATTGCCTCAGGTCATGGTCTCACCGTCCTTGAGTTCGAGCCCCGGGTCAGACTGTGCTGACAGCTCGGAGCCTGGAGCCAGCTTCAGATTCTGTGTCTCTCTCTCTCTCTCTCTCTCCCCTCCCCTGCTTGCACTCTGTCTCTCAAAAATGAATAAACATTAAAAAAAAAAAAGGCACTCAACCGACTAAGGCAACTAGGCACCCCCTGAATATTGTGTATTGAACCTACTACCGGTTCTTTTAAAAAAAAATTTTTTTTAATGTTTATTTATATTTCGAGAGAGAGAGAGAGAAAGAGGCGAGATGACACTGGAATGTTTTCTTTAAGATTTCTAGAAAGCTTAAAGTCAACTTTTAGCATTAGGACTCTTACCTTATAGAAGCGCCTGGGTGGCTCAGTCAGTTAAAGCGTCTGACTCTTGGTTTCGGCTCGGGTCGCGATCTCACAGTTTGTGAGTCTGTGCCCCGCGCTGGGCTCTGTGCTGACAGCATGGAGTCTGCTTGGGATTCTCCCCCCGCCCCTCCCCTGCTCACTCACTCGCTCTCTCTCTCAAAATAAACTTAAAAAAATTCTTTTTAATAAAAAAAAAATAAAAAGAATTCTCACCTTATAAAAAGTGCAACAGTTTAATGCATTGCATGTTTAATTACATCTGTTCTGGAGGAATCTAAACATATTTGAAAAAAAATACTACAAGGAACAAATACTATAAATTTTAAAGGCCTCAGCATTTGAAGAGTGGCTATCGTGTATCATACACTGTCTTCACCCCTTTTCATTTCAGAGGAGGACTGACCATTTTCTAGGGTTCCCCCCAAATTCTTTACGTGGTGTTAATTAAGGTTGGGGCAAGCTAATTATGAGGAGAGACAGCCGAAGCAAGTGACGATGGGGAGGCCGGGGACTCAAGACAGGCACACGGATACGGAGTTAAATTGTCATGGATGTACCTGTTTAGTCCCCAGGTACCTTCCACACAAGTTGACACGAGAGAGCCGGTGCACATAAACGATGCCCAAACGGTGGGACACAAGCGACACTGACATTGGGCCATCGTATTTTCAGGGCATCCTATATGTGCCTTAAGACAGCAGCCCGGGGCAGCTCTTCCTTGGCTGGGGCACAAACCTTACCTGTTTGTAGGGGTCTGTGGATGGTGAGGAACGGGACCTTCCATGAACGTACTGTGGCCTCTCGTGCTGATCCAGACCTGCGTCCAAGATGTCACCCGCTGAGTGATACCGCCCAGAACTCCTGGCTTCTAGAGCGTTTCTCTGCTCCCTCCAAGAGGCTTGATACTCAGCAAAGGTTCCAAGTCTCTGAGGCGGTTCTGGTTTTCCCATGGTCGCCGTTTTTCCGTGACTGCTGGGGTTCTCTCCAAGGGAGGTCGTGTGGGCCCTGTTCTGGAACCAAGGCTCTGCACCCTCATACCCGTGGCCCGCTGTCCGCGGCCTCTCCGGCTTCTCCTTCGGGAATCCACAGAGCGCTTGCCTCTGCCCAGGTCTCTGGTGAATGGGTCTGCTGCTCTCCTCAAAAAACTTGCACCTGTCGGCGAATGTGCCCATGGTGTCCTCGGACGCACCGGGGTGCCGGTGGGGGCGATCGGGCCCTGCGAGCCCCACCTCGTTCATTTTCTCGGGTTCGGAGTACGATTTCAGCTTCTGTTGCACCGTGAACCGTTTCCGGGCCCCAATACGGGGAACGTGCGGCAGGCCCCCTCCAGACGGGGATGGCTTGGGCAGGCCCCCCTCCCAGAAGTGGGGGGCGGCATCCAGATGTGTGCCGTGCTCCTCCGTCCGCGGCTCGGCTGACCCCGCGGGACGATCGGCCGGGCCGGGCTCCAAGTCGCGGCGCTTGAAGGACGTGGCCCTCAGGACCCGGGCTTGGGCCTCCTTCAGGTGGTCTTTATAGGTGCCCCGGAAGGAACCTTCTGGGGAGGCGCCGGGGACGCCTCCCGGCTCCACCTGCCAGCCGCCGGCCTCCCGAGCCGCCTCGTCGGCCCCAGCCAGCGCCACCGTGCTTCTGCTCTTCTGCAGGTTGGCTCGGCGCATCTGGACCTCGTTCCGCAGGGTGGTGGCGAAGCGGTCGCTTCTCCGGGTGGCTCTGCCCACCTGGCCATCGAACGGGGGCGGCCTTTCGGCACCAGCTCCCGGGCCGTCGTCGGGCGGGCACGCCCCCTCCCGGGCCAGCGAGTGCAGCATAGGCGTCTTCTGAGGGGAGATCTTGCCGCTTTCTCCCGCGGCCCACGGGAAGCCGGCGGTGGCTTCCTTCCCCGCCGCTCCTGCCCTGTGGGCGGCTGTCTGTGGCTCCTCGCTTCCCACGGGGTGGCCCTTGGCTGCCTGGTCGCTCTCACGGGTGTCCGAGGCCTCCTCCTCGTGCCGGATGTGACCCCAGGGCCCGTGGCCCATCGGGTGCTCAGTGGGGAGTTCGTGGGCTTCTGCGGCCCCGTCAGACTGCCAATATTCCTCGTGGGGCTGTCCCGCCTGGGCGCTTGCCTGCGGGCACTGTCTGCTGGTCACACAGTAGTAGCGGCTCTGCCCACCGCTGTTGCCCTTCTGTTCAGTGGCACCGGGCCACCTGAGCCGAGTGGGGCCGTCGTCGTCCTGGACACAGTGGGCAGAAGGCTCCTGGCGGCCGCCAGGGACGGCCACACAGTGCTGCTCCCTCAGCGACGAGGCGGCCCTGGGGCCGTCGTGACAGAAGGGACTCTCATCACTGTACTGGCGCGGGTGCTGGCAGCCACAGGAGGCCTGCGGGAAACGCACGTCCGTGCTGGACAGGGAGGCCTGAAGCCGGCCGGGGGCCCCTGGGAGGCCGCCCGGCCTGTGGTCAGGGGTCGGCACCCCACGGTCCAGGGGGACGTGGGGCGCAGGGCCCGAGCTCCCGACTCTCTTCCCATTGCCGGGCCGTGCCGGCCTCCACTGCTGACTGGCGGGCTCTGGTCTCCAGTCACTGCGGGGCTGGGCCCGGGGCGGGCCTGGAAAGTGCTGCACACTGGCGGTGTCTGAGAGCAGAGGGCCCTGGGCCTTCTCGTGGCTCTTGGTGGCAGCGAAGCTGTCACTGCGGAGAGGGGGAGGTGGTGGAGGAGGGGAGGAAGGTGCTTTTCTCTTATCGGGGACATACCAAACCGGTCCCAAATTTGATTTTCCAGGGGTGGCCAGCTTGGTCTCAGGACTGTCCTCTGGCCTGGGGCTTCTGCTGCCATCACGGGGGACCCGGGGTGGGAAGTACCCGAGCCTGTCCTCCAGGCCCTGGGGGTCACTGGCAGCCTGGCCCTGCCGGCCGCCCGGCCTACAGGCCTCCCCCAGGCCCACGTTGTAGAGGATGTTCTCCGCAGAGGACGCATCAGCCTTGGGCAAGGTGTGGTCGGGCGTGCTGGAGCTGGTGGAGAATGAGCCGTAAGCTGAGTCCCGCTTGCTCGGGCCGCCCAGGTGGTCGATGCTGCCATTGGACCTGGCGGAGGAGAGGCGTCCGGAGGGGTAGGGCTGGGAAGGGTGGTCCAGGCTGTCGACGCTCCCCAGGGAACTAAAGTGGTCAGAGGTACGCTGCAGATTCGTGTGCTCCCACGTGCCAGACAGGTCATGGGAGGAAGAACTAGGAGGAAAGAACCAGAGAGAAGAGTTTGCTTTTGAAGCGAGCAATAGTAAAGGGGACAAATGAGGAGAGCAGGACCAAGAACACAGCTGGCCCCACACAGAAACGTCCAGATGCCGGGGCGCCTGGGTGGCTCAGTGGGTTCAGCGTTCAACTTCGGCTCGGGTCATGATCTCACGGCTCGTGAGTTTGAGCTGCGCGTCGGGCTCTGGGCTGACAGCTCAGAGCCTGGATGGAGCCTGCTTCGGATTCTATGTCTCCCTCTCTCTCTGTCCCTTCTCTGCTCGCATTCTGTCTCTCTCTCTCTCTCTGTCTCTCTGTCTCTCTCTCTCAAAAATAAATTAACATTAAAGACATTTTTTAAAAAAGATTATTCTGTGACCCGTGAAAATGACAGGAAATTCACATCGCAGCACTCACAGATATGCTGTGATTGGAACACAATTATGGCCATTTGTCTACACACTGTTTGTGAATGCTTCTGAGCGACAATGGCAGAGCTGGGTACCTGCAACTGACAGAGACCCATGAAGCCTAAAATATTTCCTACCTGCCCCCTCAAAGAACAAGACTGTGAACCCCGGGGTTTAGCGTATAAAAGGATTCTTGTTATGGATTACTAAAACCGAAGAAGCAATCAAATGACAGTAATTTTCTTTTTTCTTTTAAAAATTTTTTTAGGTTTATTTATTTATTTTGAGAGAGAGAGAGAGAGAGAGAGCAGGGGAGGGGCAGAGAGAAAGGGAG